AGAGCATCTGGTGGATTCGAACTGCGCTCCTCTGGGATTGCAGTGCAGCTTGTTGTCACTAGGCCACCAGAGCTCCCAAAGCATGACCTTGTTAACAGGTGTGTTCAATCAGGGTGCATCACCCAGACAAAGTAACTCATGACTCTAGAAGGAGCATGGTAATTCATTTCTCACTAACGTGTGGTCTGGATGTCTGGTCACTAGAGTAGAGACGCTCTGAATCCATATCAGGTTCCATGTTCTTGTGGGCTGCATTGGCTGACCTGCAGGAGAAATAAGAGTGAGTGAGTGAATGAGACACTTATGTGGTGCTATTGTCAGCTGGCATCCAGTTAACCCATGGAGATCCCAGGCACAGTGGCATTGGGTCACTTTGATCCATGGGACTTTCTACTGCTTGAGCTTCGAAAGTAGTTCCTCAGGTCTTTCTTCCCACCCAACTTAGTCCAAAAGTTCCACTAAAGCTTGTGCGGCACCATAGCATAGTGGCACATGGGCTTCCAGATGAGTGGTAACTACACATAAGGCTCATTGTCTGGGAACCAAACCAGGCCATCCAAACAGAAGGCAAGAATTCCATGGCTGCCCTAAAGGTGGTATTTTGCTGTTAGGTGTTGTCGAGCCTAGCACAACTCACAGCAACCCTGTGAACGACAGACCTGAGCCCTGTCGTGTCCTGGGCCATCCTCTTCATCTCTGACACGCTTGAGCCCATCCCTGCAGTCACCGTGTCAATCCACCTCTTTGAGGGTCTTCCTCTCCTTTGCTGACCCTCCACCTTTCCTAGCATGATGTCCTTTCCAAGAAATAGCCTCTCCTAACAACATGCAGAAAGTATATGAGACGAAGTTCTCCTTCCTTACTGCTGAGGAGCACTCTGGTTGCGCTTTTTCTAGGACACGTCTGTTTGTTCCTTTGACAGTCCATGGGATGTTCAGTAGTTTGCAAGTGTCTGATGTCATAATGTTTGTATCTAGAGGTATATTTCCCATTAGAGATGGTGATGTCAGAGCAGAGTGGTGTCAGAGCAAGAGTTTAAGACTTGAAGTTGGGGAGATACACTTTCATTCTAAGCTCAACAACACACAATGGCTCGTTGCCATCCAGTCAGAACTGATTCATACGCAGACCCTCCAGTGGGTTTCCAGAGGCTGCAAATTGCTCTGGAGGAGATTACCTTATTGGAGCTGTTTTGTCATTATAAAGTAAGGACATTAATGAAAATAAGGACATCTGTTTAAAAACTAATGAAAAAGGTAGTTAGGAGGACATTAATGAACTGCCATCTAAGAAAGAGTCTAATCAAGCCAAACCCAGCAGTAAATGAAACAGTCATATTCTTTAAAATGTCTGCTGACATGAGATACTCTGGGCTTTTAGACTGAAGCCACAGAAATAAAAAATAGGGCAGAAGAAGAAGGAATGGCTTTAGGGGGAGAGGGGAAGCAGCAGCATGCAGGCTGTGAGAAGGTACTGAGGTGGGGAGATGTTTTGTGTTTAGTCACAGCCAAAGCTCCTTAATGGGATCATCATCGTCCAGGAGCCACGGGAGGTTGGTGCTCAAGCCGTGGAGCAAAGTGGGAATCAGTAAGATTGAAGCAAGTCCCCAGCCTCAAGAGAACCTTGGCGTTGGATGAGTCTGCTAAAGAATGAAGACTCAGCAAGGCACGAAAGACGGCTTGGGAATGAAGAAAGAGAATGCCAGGAGCTCAGAAGGAAAGCGGAAAAGGACCAAGTTCAAGTGCTAGTACTTTGCAAGTGCACGACTGTGCTATTCGACTCAGAAAGAAGCAAAACACAGAAGAAACTGAGAAACAAGTTGTGGAGGAAGGAGGTGGGGGCTGGAGTTGAGGCATAGGTTGGAGAAATTAACTTTGCAAATGAGGAGAGACATATGTCTCATTTGAATATATGGAAAGGAAGAGACCATAGCTGAAACGTGCATATTTTTATAAGGAAGCTGGCATAAAATTTTTAGGTTATATCTAACAAGCAAGGACTTAATCTCTAGTTTTGAGGGATTACCAAGTTTTCTTTTTTGGGAACTAGAGAAAAACCAGCTTTGAGTCACCCGTGAGAAGCTGATTGAAATCAGTAGATCTCGTGCTTGTCAAGAAAAGCATAGTGAGACTCAGATTCACAGATGTACTAACATCATTTCACTGTCCAGCCCCTTCTCTGTCTATGGTGATAAGCCAATCATCATATGGAAATGGAGATATTGGGTGGCTAACTAAGCTCACTTGTTTGCTCAGTGACTGTATTAGTTTCTTGGAGCAGCTGTAACAAATATCACAGAGTGGCCTTTGAACTTCATTACCTCTGTTCTGGAAGCTAGGAGACTTAAGATCAAGGTTTCAGCCCTATTGGTCTCTTGAGGTCTCTGGTCTCTGTAGTGGCCCCCAGTATCCTTGGTGTTCCTTGGCTTCACATGGATGAAGCTTCACTTGGGTCTTCTTTCATCTGCATCTGTCTGTCTTGTCTCCTATTTTATAAGGACACTACTTAGATGGGATTAGGATCCATCCTACTCCAGTATGTTCTTGTGATAACATCCTAAGAGAACCTTTTTTTTATTTTAATGAAAGTTTATAAAGAACTTGGATTTCCATTCATTCATTGTTGCACATTTTCCTCCCTGACCCCCCTCCCCCCCCCAGTTCGCTTTTTTCTTTGGAAAAAAAAGTCCTTTCATTGTTATACAGTCCCCACCCCTCCCCCGACCACTTTACTATGCAGCTCTTATTCTGCACTCTTGTCATGCTATTAATACCTAATCATATGTTCCTTTTATACAGTTCTCTCCCTTGTCTCTTTCAATGTCATGTACATTATTTATCCCCTCTTTCCTTAGTTTCCTCCCACCTCCCATATCAGTCCTGTTCTGTAACGGTGGCATTATGCAGTATTTGTCTTTTTGTGACTGGGATATTTCATTCAGCATAATGTCCTCCTGGATCACCCATTTTGTATAATATTTCATTAGTTCTTTGTTTTTCAGTGCTGCATAATATTCCATTGTGTGAATGTACCACAGCTTCTCTATCCGTTCCTTTGTTGATGGGCATTTGGATTGTTTCCAACTCTTTGCTGTTGTGAACAAAGCCACAGTAAACATGGGTGTGCATATATCTGCTTGAGCGGCAGTTCTGGTTTCTTTGAGGGGTATTCCAGTAGTGGAATTGCTGGGTCAAATTATATTTCTATATCCAACTTTTTGAGAAAGGGCCATACTGCACAGGGAACCTTTTTTGAGCCCAAGCCTCTGCTTTGGAAACTTGGAGTGAAAGGAGAGGAAGTGCAGAAAATGGAAAGGGTAGCTCAAGGAGAGAAGACCCGTCGTAGAGAAACCAGGAGAAGCAGGCAGATGGCGCTCAGGTTGCTGGAAGCTACAGATGTATGGTAGGAAGGCATGAGAAGGCCTGCATCTCACCCAGGCTGTCTCCATTTTCCATAACTAGCCTGTCCTCCTGTACTTTAAGTGGGAGGCAGACAGGAAGTCTCACAGATAAGAAGCTGCCCTATCCTTCCATTGACAAACCCAGGAGGGCAGCCTGTGCTGGGGGTAGGCAATAAGGAGGCCCACTACAGATAATTTAAAAGCAGTAATAAGGGGAGCTCTGGTGGCCTAGTGGCAAGAAGCTGCAACTACAATCCCAGAGGTGCACGGTTCGAATCCACCAGATGCTCTGCCGGGGAAGGAGGGGCAATCTCCTCCTGTACCAGTCAGATCTGATTTGACGGTACACGCACACAAAAATAATAAAATAAAATAAAAATTTAAAAAAAAAGCAGTAATAAAACTGCTAATCATCTCTCTGCCTTTTATTACCAGCATGTGCTCACAATCCTAAACAATGTCAGTGATAAAATATTCTTCCACCAGAACCAGTACACGCCCATTCTCATTCCACATGCTGCCATTTCCACCTCCAAGAGGAGGGATCACTGCTTCAAGCCTGCCAGTGAGTGGTCTAAGAGGGGCAAGTGAAAGGCCTGGTCACAGCTGCCTCCACTGCCTCTCCACACCCACCCCTCTAGCTTCCCATAGAAGCATCAGAGGGGGGAAATGAGTTGTGTGAGCAAAAGCGCCACCCAGGGTACCCTCCCAGCAAGTTTTGAGGCTTCTAGCACTTTCCACCTCCTGGGACTGCTCTCATAGCCTCTGTCGTCAAGGGCTGTGGACCTCTGTCTGGCTCAAGTGCCTGCTGGGGCTGGTCCTCTCTGTTGGGATCTGGCTATGCAGTTGTCTGGGCAATGCCTACTTGGAAACACACTTCTCTTGATGGTCATTCCATTGAGCCCCAAATATTACAAAGTACTTCCTTAGCCAAACCAAGTGTCATTCTTCCCTAGCCTGCTTCTAACACTTGGAGGCCATATGCAGCAAATATAGTCCATCTTCCCATACAGGGACCTTCCACGTGTTTAAGAGCATCTCAAGTTGCTTATGAGTCTACTGTTTCCTAGGCTAAAGTCTCTCCCATTATCCTGTCCAGGGGTGGTGATTGTTGTTAAGTGTCGTTGAGTCAATTACAACACACAGTGGCCCTATGAATGACTGACGTGAACCCTGTCCTATCCTGTGCCATCCTCATCATCTCTGACACACTAGAGCCCGTTGCTGAAGTCACCATGTCATTCCATCTCATTGGGGGTCTTCCTCTCCTTCACTGACCCGCCATCTTTTCAAGCATGATGTCCATTTCTAAGGACTAGCGTCACCTAACTAATCCCGGCGTGTAAGCCTTCTTCACGTTAGACACAATTTCTGTGTAATCTCATGTCACCCTCTGACATAATACAGTTATCATCCTTATTTATGGATGAGGAAAACTGAGGCTGTTCAAAGAATGGGAAGACTTTGCCACCATGGCAAAACCAGATTGCTATAGGCCCCTACCGTGTCATTAGACTTGAGGTCCCATTGGCTGCGCACCTTCCTGTCTCCTGTCTCGCAAGCCAGAATTGGTGACAGGAGGCATATGACTGTCTTTCAGAAATCTCCTTCAGGGTGTGGATGTGTGGTGGCAGCCTGGAGATCCTCCCCTGCAGCCGTGTGGGGCATGTCTTCCGGAAGAAGCACCCATATGTTTTCCCGGATGGAAATGCCAATACTTATATAAAGTAAGTGAGTGTCCAGGGCATAGGTGACCATGGGTAGGAAGCGATGGTTGCAGCTATCTTGTCTGCTCTGTGAGGTTCTGGGTGGACAAAAGCCACATTGCTCTCTGGATCAGCCTGTATGGGAGGGTGACCCACACATATGACGAGGTGTAGGTCAAATCCTAACCTCCTGTTCTCCAAGTGTGGGTTTGAGCAGTAGGAAAATAAGAAACACTTTTGCCAAATCTTGACAGATAAAGAGCAGACCAAGGGGCAGGGGAGGACACACCTTCAGGACCGGCTGAGCTTTCAAGTATTTCAGAAAGGAAAGGGAAGCTTGGGGTGGCGGGCATCTCACGTGGCCACGTGGGAGATGCTGGACTGGGAGCGAGGTGCCAATGCCCAGGGGTCCAAGCATTGTCACAGAGATGGGACCATCACTGGTGGACATCCAGCCTGCCACTGGTGGGTAAATCAGTGATCGAAAGAATGTGGCACACACAAAAAAAAAGAATGTGGCACAGATGTCTCTTACATGTCCAATTTGCAGATAATTAAGCCAGTGGAAGAGCCAGCAAGGCGCTGTTAATGCCTTTGATGCACTGAGAACTGCACTGGCCGTGCAGAGCTGGATTCTAGGTCAGGCAGCTCAGAAGGCCTTCCGCTCTCCTCTGACAAATGCCTCCTCCCCATCACAGAACCAGGTAGCTGGAGGAGCGAGTCCCAATGAGGTCCCAAGTTCACTTCCCTGGGCCTTGGCAGATGCCACTTACTCCCATGCTGCATTGGGCATTAATTGTTCCTGTTCCTTCTCCTTTATACTCTGGAGCTTTTCCTGGCACCTCTACAACCCTGACTGCATCACAGTGTCCACCTCGCTCCTTAGCACTTTTTCTGTGACCTTTGGGCTTAGACTCAGAACAAATAACCTGATTGAAAAATCTGAAGCGTTCAGATAGAGTACCTGAAAAAGAGACGGCTTGATTACTTAATCCTTTACACCTGCACCAAGCTAATAGCCTGGCCTCCGAGGACCTGTCAGTGGTTGACGCTGCCTTTGGGGAGCCTGTGACCTCAGCGTTGCCCCCAAGTAAAGGAAGCATCTGAGAGCACAGGCCCACAGGCGACCAGTGGTGACACGTGCGACATGAGCCCTAACTATTCACACTTGATCTCTGGCAGCACAGGGATATCCAGGACCTCCTGTCCCTATTATAATGAGGGCAGTACAAGTTCAGTTTCTGGTGTGATTCATCTGGCCCGTACCTTTGTTGTCGTTGTAAGGTGCTGCAAGTCAAGGAGGACTCATAGCGAGTCAATGAACAACAGATCTGAGCCCTGTCCTATCCTGTCCCATCTCACCATCTGACACACCTGAGCCTACTGCTGCAGTCGCTGTGTCAATCTATCTCATTGAGGATCTTCCTCTTTTACAGATCCTCCACCTTTCCAAGCATGATGTCCCTTTCCAAGGAATAGGCCTTTCTAGCAACATGCTCTATGTGTGTATTTATCATAATAAACCCTAGGTCTTGGAGTAAAAACCCATTTGGAGATTAATGTGGCATGATTTGGGATCCGAGCCTGGCAAAGACAATGTTAGCGGGTTGTGGTGTCTGTGCCACGTGGATGTCTAGGTGGTGTTACCCACTTGGCCACATGTGTGCATTTTTGATAGAATGTGCCACAGTCCTCTCCTCCCCTTTCTGACACTTCTTGTCTCCCTAGGAACACCAAGCGGACAGCTGAGGTATGGATGGATGAATACAAACAGTACTATTATGCTGCCAGGCCTTTTGCACTAGAGAGGCCCTTTGGGAAGTAAGTATCTTTCTAGTTGAAGAATGCAGTTGTTGTTGTTGTTCAGGGCTCTTGAATCAACTATGACTCATAGAGACTCTGTGAACCATGGACCTGGACCTTGTCCTGTCCTGGGTCATCCTCAGCATCCACACTGTGTCAGTGTGTTGAGGATCTTCCCCTCCTTCACTGATCCCATACCTTCCCACGCATGAAGCACTTTTCCAAGGATTCGCTCTTCCCAGCAACATGCCCAGAGTATACAAGGTGAGGTTTCCCTATCCACGCCTTTAAGGAGCCCCCTGCTACACCTTGCCCAAGACATATTTGTCCTTTGGCAGGCCAGAGGATATGCGTCACTCTTTTCTAACACCACAACTCAAAGGCATTAGTTCTTCTGTAATCTTTTTCTTCACTGTTCAACTTTCAGCCGCATAGCAAGTAATTGAAAAGATTATGGTTTGAATCGGTGCACTTTATTCTTCAAACTGACATCATTGCTTTTCAGCACTTTGGAGAGGTCCCTGACAACAGACTTTCCCAATGCAACATGTCTCGATTTTTTGACTGCTGGTACCAAGGGTGTTGATTATGGATCCAAGAAAAAGGAAAACGAAAAAGAAAAAAGAAAAGCCACATAGGTCTGTGACAAGCAGGCCCTGACAGGTCTATAGGATAACGGTTTACTCAGGGGTCTCCCCAAGCCTCGGAGTTCTGCCAGGACTGAGGAGAATGACTCTCCTGCCTCCTATTCCTACAGTCTACCCCATCCTGGGAATGGAGCACAGAAATTTAGGACCTTTTGTGGAATTATTATCTGGAAACCTACAGGGAGGTGAATTCTTCCAGAAATGAAGAAGACTGGGTTAAACACCTGTGTCCCTTCCAGGTCTGTCAGTGTTCCTGCGGTCTTCCTCTTGTTTCCTGGACACACAGCCCCACATTTCCCTTCTTCCTCAGAGCAAGAAGATGCAGACAGGTGTCTGCAACAGCAACACTCCATCCTCATGGGAATAGACACAGAAAGAGAGAGAATATTTAACACTTGATCCCGTTACATAAGTGATTAATCCTCCCAAATCTCTGTGTGTGGGTTAATTATCCCTGTTTTACAGACTAGAAGAATCAGGCTTAAGCAAGTGAAGAAACATTTCGTAGATCACACGTTGTAAGAGAAGGATGGTAACCAAAACCAGGCTTAGCTAGGTTTGGTAAGAGAGGATTTGGTAACACATGATTGGTGATGGGTGCCTCACATGGTTAATGTAATTTATGACACTAAACCCTGTTGTTGTTGTTAAGTGCTGTCGAGTTGTAGGTGACTCACAGCGACCCTGTGAACGAAAGTCCTCGACACTTGTGTGATTTTCATCCTCTCTCCAGGATCATAGGGTTTCCAGAGGCAACCTATTTATGGAAGTGGATGCCGCTCCTGCTTCCAAGCTTGTTTTAATCGGGGAGCTCCACCAAACACTGTCCACCATGGGTAACCATTATTACATTTGACACGTCAGTGTCACAGTATTCAGCTTCACAGCAACCACAAGTTACCACTGTACAGCAAGTGGACACACCAGGGCTATATGACCTAGAAGAATGTTTGACCAAAAACAATGAAAAACAGGTCTGAGGGCCGTGGATTAGAGTCACCCACCTTTGGTTTGGCAGCATCACTTTTGGTCCACTAGGCCTACTGGTCTCTCTCTATGTTGTTAAGTGCTATTGAGTCATAAGCGACTCCTAACGACCCTATGAACGAAAGTCCTCAACACTTGCATGACTTTCATCCTCTCTCCAGGTTCATAGGGTTTCCAGAGGCAAGCTATTACGGAAGTGGATGCCACTCCTGCTTCCAAGCTTGTTTTAATCAGGGAGCTCCACCCAACACCGTCCACCATGGGTAACCATTATTGCACTTGACACATCAGTGTCTCAGTGTTCAGCTTCACAGCGACCACAGGTTACCTCTGTACAGCAAGTGGACACACCAGGGCTTTATGACCTAGAAGAATGTTTAAACCCTGTACCTGAAAAATTTTAATTGTAAATATTTTATAAACAAAATATGTAATTGGCAACTGATATTTCTACATTCATTTATGGCTTATAACAGCACAACAACAATTAGAATATATGCTATAAATACATGCATGGGTGGTGGTGGTGTTCTTAGGTGCTGTCTAGTCAGCTATGACTCATAGCGACACTAAGAACAGCAGAGATGAGCCTTGCCCTATCGTGTGCCACCCTTACTGTCTCTGATATGCCCAAGCCCACCATTGTAACAGTCACTGTGTCATTCCTCTTGATGTCTCTTTCTCTGACATCCACCTTTGTCAGCATGTCATTTTCCAAGTACTAGTCCCTCCTAACAGCATACCCAAAGTATGTGTGATGAAATTTCACCATCTGTGCCTTTATGTTGTTGTGTGCTATCAAGTCAGAACCCACTCAGAGCTGACCCTCTAGCAGGTTTTCAGAGGTAGTAAATCACATGGGAGGAGATGACCCAACTTCCTCCCATGAAGCAGCTATTGGATTTAAACCATGTGTCTTTGGGATGGAACTATAGCTTCTTCCCACTAGGCCTTGCCTCTAAAATAAAGGAGAAAAGAGAGAAATATAGGATTAAAGCATATGGTTCAAACAGAAAAACCAAAACATTTCATAACCCAGAGCTGGTTTGAGTAGAAAAAAATTACAACTTCATTCATATTATCATTTGCATTTCTTTGGGGGTAAACAATAACTAGTTGCATAAACTTGAACAGGTAGGTTTTCTGCAGCCCAAACTTAATTAGTTAGGTGTCACTATCTGTTTGCTGGCAACCAACAGCGACACCCTGATGGGGGTAAGCATGATGGAGATACACCACTCTGGGAGAGGATCAGAGAATCAATCCAGCTCAACTTAATTGGGGACTGCAGCACACTTATACATGAACAAGTAAACAGAAAGACAGGATAGGGTTGGCTTACAGACGTGGGACAGGCAGATTGGATCGAAAAACCTCAGCCTCCTGCAGACCACTCCCAGCTCAACAGAGATGCAGCAGCCAACTTTTCAGGTGGCGAGCTTTCTCAAGCCAGTACAGCCAAATACAGGGGAGCTTTCTCTACCCCATATTAAAGGCTGTTGGGAGGCTTACACTTATCTGGAGCTTAGGTGATCTATCCTAGCCAGAGACCCTCCCTTCCTCCCCAACATTCCCCAAGAGTTAGGCCCTTGAAGTTTAGATCTGCTGTGCCAGCCAAATGATTTCCACCTCTACAGTCATAAATTCATCTAGCCCTCTGTTTCTTTTACTCAAAACCTCTCAAGTCATTACTTCTCATTCCTTATTAGAACTTAAAATCTACTGGCCTTCCTTCCCCTCTTGAACTCTGTTCATCTTCAGCTCAGGTTCCACATTCTTGCTTAAAGAGACTGTTTAAAAGATTGTCTTTGTATGTCTTTGGGCCCAATGGTCATCTATCAATATCCTCTTAACAAAGTTTTCTCAACCCTGGCAAAGCTTCCTCAACTCCATTCCCTGGTGTTCACTGCACTTGGGAAATACAGCCATGCCCATCAGCTGTGGTGAGGCATCAGAATGCCCACTGATCTGCCACTTACCTGTTCATCATTCTGTCTCCATTTCTACTTCCACTTCCTCTATATTCACTAAACCATGACCTCTTTGCACTCTCAGTAGATGATCCCCCTTCTGCTCTACATCCTTCTCTTTTTCCTTTCAAAGGACAAGTTGTGCTTGCTGCTGTGTTAGACCAGCACTCCACCTGTACTCGATTCATTCCACCATTCATGCCTGGGTTCATTCATAAATCAACATGTAGAGAGTACCCCCTGCCTGCACTCATCTCCTGCCTCCTGGAGCAGAGCTTCTCAAACTTTAATGTACAGGTCCATCTCCTGGGGATCTTGTTAAAATATGGATTCTGATTCAGGAGGTCTGCATTACTAACAAGCTCCTGGGGTGCATGGTGCTGCTTGTTTGAGGACCATCATTAGAGAAGCAAGATTTAAGAGGATGGTTCCCAAACTTGTCAGCACATTGGAATCACCTATGTAGCTTAAAAATTATGAGACCTATATTCCTATCTGCAGAAAGTTGATTTAACTTAGTGTAGGACGTAGTCTGTGCTGTGGAATTTCTAAACACCCTGAGGTGACTCTAGTGTGTGACTGGAATGCTGACCCCTCTACTAGAGGCCTTCATGTTTCAGATGCCTCTTCTTGCCCTGACCTCTAGTCTTTTTTCTATTGCAACTCTTCCCCTTAGTATTTAAGTTTATTCTAGTATCTCATATCTTAAAAAAAAAAAGTAGGGAGGGAAAGAAGGAAGAAACAAGCTACAGAATCCTCTGTCCCTCCAACCTCGCCCAGCCCCTACACCTCTGTCCCTTTATGCTCCTAGAGTCAAGCTTGATGTCACAGTTGTATGCACGTCCAGCTCCTTGTGACCCTCCTTCCTCCCTGATGGCCTTTGAGGCTCTGCCCCACTCACTTCTGGCCCTGTGAGACTCTGTCCCACTTCTCAGTTGGCTCTACCCAGCTCCTTGTTTTGTCTGTGAGCCCCTTGCTTGGACTTTTCACCATCACACTGCTTTGCTACCTCTCAGCATGAGACATCATGGTTTCTGTCCCCTCTCTACTCCTCAGAGCCTAGGACTTCCCTAAACTGCAATATTGGCTCCAATCCTTCTACCAGCCCCTGCAGCTCCCCGCTCATTCCAATTTTCAGCTCATTTCCTCATCCTGTCTCTTGCATCTTGTTCTTCCCAAGCATCTGTCATAAACCTTCTTCTCTTCCTACTGTACATTCTGCCTGGTGCCAGCCACCATATCTGTGCTGTGATTCTCCACCTCTTTCTGTAATCCAGCTCTCTTCTCTAAACCCCAGACTCTTCCAATCGAACTATCACCTGGACATCTCCACCTGGATGTCTCCCAGGATCCTCTAACCCACCAAGTACTAAATCCAGTTTGTCCCCAAATTTGCTCCGTACCCTGTATTCCCCACCTCATTGCACCATCTTCTTTGTATCCTGTCGTCCAAGTCGGAAGCCTGGTGCAGTCCTTGAGTCTTCCCTCCCCTGCACAAGGTACTCTCCTAGTCAGTAACATTGCTTCCTGCAGGAATTGACTAGTCAGGTCTTTGGCAAACACTGAATATTCAGCATTTTTTTTAATTTTATTTCATTAATTTTAATGAACATTTACAGAGATTTTGGGTTTCCATTCATTCATTGTTGCACTATTTTCTCTACACACCCTCAGTTCGTTCCTCTCTTTTTTCCCCCTTGAAAGTCTGTTTTAACTATCCCATTTCCACAGTGCTTGTCAAAGCCAGTTCTGATTAATCTCCTTTGTCAGTGTGTCCTTTGCCATTCCCTATCACTCCTCCCTGAGAGAGATTTCACCGATTTATAAGGAAAAGGAGATGGCGTATTCTCTTAGCTACTTCCTGCTGAAAATGGACGCTGTAGGTTTCAGGGTGAAGATCTTCTCTCACTACTCTAGAGGGCCCCTTTGGAAATAGGAAACACGTAGACTATTGTGGAGATTGATTTTGGAATTTAGTCGCACTGTTAATAATATTCAGCATTTTAAACCAATGGACATAAGTTCTATCTTCACAGGGCTTATCATCTGGTGATAAATGAAAGCTATAAACACATATGTTTATGGACAACCCTTTTACTTACCAGTGTAGTTAGTGTTCTAGGAGAAGTTCTGGTTCTAGGGAGCACCTGGTCCCGTCTTGTGAACCGAGTCAGGGGAAGAAGTGGAGATGGAAGTGGATGAGGTTAGCAAGGTGTGGATGGGACCTGAGTGATTGTTGGTGGCACCAGTAGAGACAAGTGGAGGAATTTGGATGCGTCACCTCTCTCTACATCCACTCCCTCCTCTGTACTTTGAAAGCACCCTCAGCATCTCATGTTCTACAACCATCACCTGCCTGCTTTCCCCTGTCCCCAGTCTCCCCCCATCAGACCCATTCGCCACTGTCCAGCAGTAAAATACCCTTAAAATACAAATAGCAATTCTCTGTCCAGATCCCAACAATTGCAACCCATTTCCTTTATTTATTTTTCTTTCTTTTAAGTGCCATCAAGTCGTAGGTGAGTCATAGAGACCATATGAATGAAAGACCTGAACACTTGTATAACTTTCATCATTTCTCCAAATTCATAGAGTTTACAGAGGCAAGCTGTTTTGGAAGTGGACCTCACTCCAGCTTCCAATATTTTTTTAATTATTATTTTAATGAAAACGTAGAGAAAAAAGTGGTTTCCCATCCTATAGCTCATACATACTGTGCTTGGTGGCATTGATTACAATCCCCACATTGAAATGGCATTTCTTTCCTATGTCTCTCATTTCCATTTGTCCTCCTTTCCCATCCTGCAGTTTGAGCTTTATCTTTGGGTAAAAACTGCCCTATGGATCTTGTTTGGTTGATCATTCTACTCCCTCCCTCAAATCATTGAGGATATTATAGGTCTATGTGTTATTTGGCTGAACTTGACAATGACTCACAAGGCCCTTTATCCTGAGTCCCTGTCTTAGTCCTACTCGTGTCCCTCTTCAGTTCCCCTCACATGGACACATTATTTAAACCCCTATGATGCTACTTTTGTCAACAGACCTCTATCTCTTTCTGTTCTTTAAATGCACTGAGTTTTCTTTGCATTACCGTGTCTGTAAAAGCAGCCCCTTCTCTCACACTCTTTCTACTTTGTCTGCATAACATCCATTCTTCCTCAACTTGAACCACGGTCGACCCAGCAAGTGAGGGCACAGCTCGTCCTGTACACCCACCCTATTCCCACGTGCAGTGTGTTTCTTGTACCTTCTTTTTATTTAAATATTTTCCATCGTATTCCAACTCAGGGACACTGTCTGACATAGAGAAGATACTCAGTAAATATTTAATTAACAGATCCATGCCCAGCCTATGGAGAGGAGGGTTCTTTGAGACTGGGACTGTGGTAGGTGGTATTTTGACTGCAGAATCCAAAGACATTGTACGGAGACCCAGAGTCCTGGAGTGAATTTAATACAATTCAATGAATGTTCTCACAGCTGTGTGTTTAGCGAAAAGTGAAAACACCTCCAATTCCATTTTCAAGTCAAGGTGTCGATTCTCAGTGTTATCATTGTGCTGTGGTAAAATGTTGCTAAGTGTTTCCATAGCTAGATCCAGAGCTAGAGAAGCCTCTGCTTGTAGGATTTCTCTGGCACTCCCAGGAGGGACATGGCGCAGAGGTGAGCCCCCTGTGCAGCCTGGGCGGGCACTGCAGGTGGCTCACTCACAAACTGTTCTATTCTCTCGTGTCTCTTCACCGACAGTGTTGAGAGCAGGAAGAATCTGAGGAGCACTCTACATTGTGAGACGTTCAAGTGGTATCTGGAGAATGTCTACCCAGAACTCAGGTATCCTCCCACCTCTTTGACCCTTTGCTGGGCTACTGGATGAGGTTCTCAGCTAATCTGCAAAAAGCAGCCAGTGGTCACCTGGAGGAGACGCTAAGACTTAAAATCTGGAAATACCAGTTTACTACTTTTATCCTGAATCCAAAGAGGGAATTACACTTCATAAGTTGTTTTGGTTAACTGCTGTAGAGTTGGCCCCTGCTTTAAAGTGACTCCTATACACAGTAGAATAAAACCCTGCACTGTCCCCATGACTGAGGAGCAGAGCATTGTGCTTCATAGAGTTTTCACTGGCTGATTTTTGCGATTATATTGCCAGGCCTTTCTTTCTAGTCTTAGTCGGAAATCCCAGCTGAAAGCTCCCCTGCAGTATAACAACATGCATGTCTCTACTGTGTGGAGCAATTGAACCTCGGTTTTCCTGCATAAACGCGCACATTCTACCGCTGAACCACCAGGGCCCCCTCTAATTCATCCACAGGTTGCAGGACTTTAGTTAGCTAGTAGTATTTTTCAGCAACTGAGATCTTGAACCCCTGGTTGCAGTGTGAGGGCATGGGCTCGTGGCTGATGCTGGCTACATTGCAGAAATCCCATCTACCCAGCAGCTTCTGACTTGCCTTGTTGGCTTGTTCTAAGCGGCACCTGCCCCTCTCCCCAGTGGTGCGTGACTGCGGAAACGTACAGCACAGCCTCTCGAGATGCCCTGCTTTCCCCAGCTCGCTCTGTGGTATCTCCAGCTGCTAACAGTGCTGCTCCAAGAGCAGAGGAGTCTCACACCTCCTGTGGTTTTCCCTCCAGGATCCCCAAGGACTCTTCGATCCAGAAGGGCAGCATCCGGCAGAGGCACAGGTGCCTGGAGACAAAAAAGTCAAAAAACCAAGAGACCCCCAGCCTGAAATTAAGCCCCTGTATCAAGACCAAAGGCGAGGAAGCAAAGTCACAGGTAAGGTACCTAGCTGGGCGGTGGAACAGTGTGCGTTAGAGGATGGAGGTGGCAGGTCACAATTACCTGGTTATTATACGTGATACCAGGTTATACCAGGGGCCAGGAGAGCCTGGAGCTTGTGAAGCCCTTGCACTGTGCACCTGCCTTTACTCCTCTCGACTTCCAAATGCATAGAACATATCTGAAAGATGAAGTAGGCAGTATGCTCATGCCTATAGGAAAGTGCCCATTAAATTGTTGTTGTTGTTAGGTGCTGTCAGGTCAACTCTGTCTCCTAATGACCTAAGAAACAGAGCTGCACCTTGTGGGCACCATCCTCCCATCCCTGGTGCGCTCAAGGCCATTGTAACCATCGGTCACTGTGTGACAGTCAGTCCGTCTTGTTGAGTGAGGGTCTTCCTCTCTCTAACCCCTCTACCTTCCCAGCATGGTATCTTTTCCCAAGAACTGGTTCCTCCTGACAACACTAAGTTAGCAGGAGTTAAATGAGGCTTTCATTGGTGACCTACCTGCTGGCAATAAACGTGGACCAGATCAGGCAGCATGAGAGACATCGCCACCTTGCAAATGTGAAAAGGGAATAGGGAAGAACTTGGTGCTGGGGACACAACCTCCAGAGTGAAGTGCCTCGTACGAGAGTCTCCTTCAAGTTTACTCCCACTTCCAGGTGGACACAGATTTGGCACAGCCATCACCAGCATCCACTCTCCTACCTCCAGGCAACACCTCTTACATGCCAGTGGCTGCATTTCTCCTATCTCTGCTCCCTCGCCCAGATCTAAAGAAGACTGTAGGCCCTCCTCTGAAAGATTCGCTTGGACCTTACTTCATTCACCCAACAGAACACTCTTTATTCTTTTCTCCACTCTATGGATGGAACTGTTTATTTTAAGTTCATTGTCAAATCTATGATCCTATCTTCCCCTCCATAACTTTACTAGTCACCCATTCTTTGGACTTGTTCCTAGAAGGGGCTGTTCCTTGGAGGAGAGAGACATCATGCTTGGAAAGGCAGAGGGTCAGCAAAAGAGAGGAAGACCCTCAATGAGGTGGATTGACACAGTGACTGCAGCGGTGAGCCCAGAGATGATGAGGATGGCACAAGATAGAACAGAGTTCAGAGCTGTTGTTCATAGCATCGCTAAGAGTCGTGCTTGACTTGGCTGCACCTACCAATATCAGGTCACCTCTAATTCATTACAACCCCACATGTGTCAGTGTGGCTGAGTTCTGGGAAGCAGATCACCAAGTCTTTCTTTCTAGGCACCTCTGGGTTGGCTTGAATGCTTAACCTCTCACTAAGCAGTCAAGTCCCTTGACAGCTTGAGGGGCTCTCTGTAACACTTAGCACTGGCTGAGTCAAGCACACCCCTCTTAGACCACCTCTCCTGCCTTCTGGAGCATCATGTGATCCCAATTATCCTATGTCCCTGTTCTCTCCCTCTCTGTTCTCTTTCAGGCTTTTACTGAGGGTCACTGTTATTTTCCCTTTAGACTGTTTCTTGGAGATTTCATCCATGTTTCGGGCTTTGGCAAGCCCTGTTTCAAGGATACACAAAATCTGTGTCTTCTTCTATCTCTGAATTTGCTCATTCATTAATTGAAATCCCTTTGTAGATATGCGAGGCAGACAGTGAGCAACTAGCTTCCACGTATGCTGGCCTCTGCTAGCTGTGATTATACAGTGTGGAAGCTGGTTTGCAAGCTTCCAAGAGCCCGCAAGAGTGCAAAATCAAGCAAGGAAGCAACCGTGATGCTTTCGTTTCTATCCAAGACAGAGTTTTCTCTAGGGTGGTAAAGAAACACCAAGAAATGGCCTGCAAATGATGCTTCAGAAACAGCAGGTTTTCCCCGAAGTCTTGAGAATGAGTCCTGAATGATGGATAGAAATTGGCCAGGCTTGGAAGGGGAGAGGAGCAGGAGCTGTGAGGTGATACCTTTGGGAGCTGCCAGGGGCACTTGACGGGAGAGGTTGCGTGAGAACAGGGCAGGGTGAGGCTGAGGAGAAACAAGAGCCAGATCACGTTGTTTCTGCTTTACTAAGGAGGCTGGGCTTTAACCTAGAGGGGAAATGAATGGATCCCAGGAGAAGGTTTGGGGACTCCCAGGTTTGCCCTGCTATCTCCTCTTCCCACTTACACATCGGGTAATTGAATGAATCCTCAGCCGTGTGAAACTCAACAGATAGGGCCTGAATACCTATCAGCATCTCATCTCTTCACCGTTTAGATCCCACAAATCCTCTCCATATGCCCCCCTTCCCAGCACCAAGATTCCAATCCAGGCTGTCTCTTAGAGCTCATCTTTCTCCAGTACCCCCAGTTTCTGGACAGTTTGAGCACTTCAGCCTCCAGAACAGCTGTTCTTGGACCCTACGTTCATGTTAGGTCCTACGTGTATGTTGGCTTAGCAGTCCTCAACCCTGCCACTATTGACAGTTTGGACCAATAAATCTCTGGTCTCTGCACCAAAGATTGTTCAGCAGCAACCCTGGTTTCTACCTGCCAGATGCCAACTGCTTTTTGTTGCTGTTATTGTCAGTTTGTTCATACTTGCCTTCCCTCCCTTTTTTAGTATTATTTTATACTGGTTTACATACAAAGTTCATGAAATGCATACACATTGTTCTTGTTGTTAGATGCCTTTAAAAAGACCAAACCTTCAAGCCACAGATCAGAACCTTGCTCTATCCCACACCATCCCTGTCATCTCCACCATGCCAATTGTTACAGTCCCTGTGTCAGTCCATATCCTCTAGGGTCTACCTCGCACAGAGCAGCTGGTGGATTTGAACCATGTGCCTTTGAGATTGCAGCACAGCTTCTTACCATTAGGCCACCAGTTGTTTACCTTAGAGGCAGAACCAACCCATAGCTGACCCTCCAGTGGGTTTTTGGAGCCAGTGATTGAAAAAGACCATGGCCTGAATCAGGCATGCCTTAGTCCTCAAGCTAACATCATTGCTCATCAGTAATTAGGAGAGGCTCCTAACTACAGACTTTCCCAGTGAAATATGTCTCCTTCTCTCCTTACTAACCAAGTGTATTTATTGTAAAGATGAAGTTGTGGACAGTTTCTATCTTTTCTCTATCTGTCATGATGTTGCCTAGCGATCCAGTGGTGAAAATTTTAATTTCTTGACATTGAGATGCAGTCCATATTTGAAGGCTATTAATAAGTCTTTGATCTTCTGCAGTAAGGTCGTTAAGTCCTCCTTACTTTCAGCAAGCAAGGTTGGCGATGGTGTGGATAATGCACACCTTGGTCTTGAGATTCACATCATTGCTCTTCAGTACTTTAAAGAGGTCTTTGATAACACATTTTCCCAGTGCAATTTCTCTTTTGATTTCTTTTGCTGCTGTTACCACTGATGTAGATTATGGATCAAAAAAAAATAAAATAAAATAAAAATCTGGCTAAAGACGTCAGTCTTTTTTCCGCCATGCTATGCTCCATCCTAATGGTCCACCGGTGAGGAATTTTGGTTTTTTTTATGTTGATATGTAATCCATATTGAAAGCTGTAGTCTTTGCTTTTCTGCAGTAAATGCTTCAAGTCTGCTTCACTTGCTGCAAGCCAGGCTGTGTCATTTGAATAATGCAGGTTGTTGAAAGTTTTCCTCCAATCTTAATGCCACATTTTTCTTTATACAGTTCAGCTTCTTGAATGATTTGCTCAGCATACAGATTGAATAGGTGTGGAGAAAGGATACAGCCCTGACACACATGCCTTTCCTGATTGTCCTGTGCAGGATTGCCCTGTTTCCTGCTTGCACTGTTCCCTTGTTCTGTTTGGACAGCAGCTTCTTGCCTGGGTCTGGGTTTCATAAGAACACAATTAAGTTTTCTTAATTTCCCATTCTTATCAATGTTATCCAGAATTTATTACTATCCACACAGTCAAACTTGTTTGCATAGTCAAGAAAACACAAGTAAACATCTTTCTGGTATACTCTGCTTTCCCTAAGATCCTCTGACATCAGCAGTGTTGTCCCTTATTCCACAGCCTCTTCTGCGGTTTTAATTTCTAGCAATTCCCTCTTCCAATTATTTTTGAATAATCTTCAGTAAGATTTTGCTTGCACTTTATATTAATGATTTGGAAGCAGGAGGCATCTATTTCCTAAATAACATGCCTCCAGAAACTCTATGAACTTTGAGAAACTTCTTCACTCTGTTGAATCACCTACTTTTGGAATAGGGGAAATTAAGGATTTCTTTTAGTTAGTTGGTTAGGCAACTGCCATCCAAATTTCTTGGCACAGGCTATTTAGCATGCCTCCCAAGTTACACCTGTTTACTGAAACACCTCAATTTTTGTTCCATCAATATCTGGGCCTTAATTTTTGCCAATGCCTTCAGATGGCAATTCAGTGACCTGAATTTCCTCCTTCATTAGCATTGGGCTGTTGATCATATGCTCCTGGCTGAAATGCTTCAGTGTGGACCAATTGTTTTTGGTACATTGACTCCGCGTATCCCTTCCATCTTCTCTTGATGATTCTTGCATCTTTCAGTATTTTACCCATAGAATCCTTCAGCATTGCAACTCCAGATGCCAATTTTTATTGTTGCTATGTGCCATCGAGTTGCCTGTGACTCATAGCGACCCTGTGTTCAGCAGCTCTGAAGCCTGCCCTGTGCTGAGCCAGTCTCACTGACTCCCACACACCTACCCCCATTGCCCCAGTTACTGTATCGATCCATTTCAATGGTCTTCCCTTATTGCCTCCCCTCCAACTTTGTTAATCAAAACATATCTCCAGACATTGCCAGTTTCACTATGGGAGACAGAATCACCCTTGAGAACCATTTCCTTTGACAGTGGCAGCAGCCTCCCAGTCACACCCTAGTCCCACACCGATCTTTGCTCCTCCTTCTTCCTGCTTTACCAGTGATCACCCATCATTGTTTCCAAATGCCATCTCAGCATAGTCTTAGATGACTCCTCACTGTCTACTGCAAGCCCCAGACTCTTGGGTGTGGTAACCGCAGCCC